AACAAATCACTTTGCAAACACCTGTTCTTAAAAGAAAGAAAATGGCTCCAGCCAACCCCTTTGCATTTTTGCATGGCCTCTTCTGGAGGAAATGCAGTTTTTTTCTTGAAAAGGGAGAGCAGCTTTTTTCTGTCACCGGAAGGACCTTGTCACTTGTCACTGCTGCAAATCTTGGTTCAGACTGTTTGGTTGTCCCCGTCTGTGCGTGGCTTGTATTTGACCTGGCGGAGGCCACAGAGGAAATGTCACTTGTACAAATGGGATTTTTTAAGGGTTTTTTTTTTAGTTAGAAAATAATGATTGCAACTTTGGGGAGGGGGCCAGGTTTACCTGCTGAGGGTCCTGGGGATGCAGGTGTCAAAATGAATTGGAGACAAAATTGGTGACAGGCAAAGGGACAGGGACAGAAATTACACAAACTCCTAAACTTCGGGTTTTAGAAAGAGGGAAAGGGACCCCCTAAAAAAAAAGATGGCTTTCTGTCTTTGTGAGATCAAAGCAGGGCTTGGTGACAAATTTGAGGGTCACAGTCTGAGATGTCACCTTATCCTCCGGTCACGTTCCAGGAGCACAGAGCCCGGCACAAAGTCCCTCAGAGCTGAGGTCTCAAAAGAGTCCCAGCGGCCCAGGCAGGAGACATAAAAAGGACGCCATGGAGGAAAACAATGGGGTCTGGAGGTGAAAATCCCACAGGATTAGGAGCAGCCGACCCCATGCACTTTGGGGAGAAAAACGTGGAAAATCCCAATGCATGTCACCCCGATAAAGGGGTCAATGACCCCAGGGGTCACGGAGAGGAAGTGGGTGGAAGAAAATGTATCCAGACTGTCCCTTTAAAAGGGGGAGGGGGAGGAGTGGAGGGGAGAGGAAGAAGGGAGGGGGAGGGGAGAAAAGGAAGAGGGGGAGGGGAGAAGAGGGGGAGGGGGAGGGGAGAAGAGGGGGAGGGGGAGGGAGGGGGAGGAGGGGTGGGGAGAAGGGAGAGGGAGGGGCAGGGAGGGGGTGAAGAGAGGGGAGGGGAGAAGAGAGGGGGAGGAGAGGGGGAGAGGGAGGAGAGGGGGAGGGGCAGGAGAGGGGGAGGGGCAGGAGAGGGGAGGGGCAGGAGAGGGGGAGGGGAGAAAAGGAAGAGGGGGAGGGGAGAAGAGAGGGGGAGGGGGCCTGAGGAGGCCTCAGAATAAAACCCACATAACCACACCCAGAGATTGCGGAAGTACCCGTATGTCACGTTACTGCACAATAAGACAAACGTTCCTTTTGTGCTCTTAGGCGGTAATCAACTGAAGAATAAAATGTATCACGGTGATAATCAATTGCACATTAGAATATGTGGAACCCGATGTGCCTAGGTCGGAATCAAACGCAGTATAAAATGCGGATGGTCCTGGGGAGAAATCAACTGTGTGAAATTGCCTGAAATCGAGGAATTTAGCTGCAAATTCGATGCAGAATAAAAATGTCTCCAAACCTGTTTTCTTAACTATTAGGAAGAAATTAGCTGAGTAAAATGGCCACTCCCCCACCCCGTGTGCACGGGCAGGGATAAGTGGATTGCAACCCATGGAACACAGTTAGAAATGGTGCAATTGAACATATGGCAGATTTATGCATTTAGGGAGGAATTCAGTGAATCCAACCCCATGTGCACCTTCTGTGTCCCCAAATTGCCACCTCTGTCTCCTTCACACACTTTCCCATATGGCGCCCATGCACCAGGATCCTAAAACCCACACGTCCCTGTTTCTGGGGTGACAGAAACTTCTAGACCATAAATAAGATTTTTCTAGTTTAAATCGTCCCAGGTCACGGGGACCCTAGCTAGAAATGTCACAACGGATTTTTATTTTATTATTTTGTTTTATTTTATGTCCTAAAACACAAAGGGAGTGAGTTCACTTTGTCCCCAGTGTCTGGTGACTCACGTGACCCTCTTAGGGGCGGGATCGCCGTGTCTGTCACTCAACGCGCACAGGTGACATCAGTGTGGACGTCACCGGGTGTGGCGTGTGCAAAGTACAGGTGACGCAACTGTGGACATAGCCTGTCATACAGAGACGTCATAGGTTAGACAGATAGATGATCGATTAATAAGGTGATGATTGATGACTGACTGATCAATAGATCTGACATACGAGAGATAGGTGATAGATACAGAGATTGATCAACACATGGACAGACAGACAGACACATCATTGACAGATATGTGGATATATGGTAGACAGATAGATGATAAACAGACAGATCAATATTTAGATCAATAGAGAGATGATAGCTAGATGGATGGATGGACGGACAGACGGACAGACTGATTGACAGAGATGATAGATACCTATATGGACTGACAGATGCACAGACAGAAAGACCCCGGTTGCACCATCCCATTGGTAGCTTAGAGACAGAGAGAGATTGAGAGAGAGAGAGAGAGAGAGGAGAAGGAGCGGATTTCCTGCACACTTGGGCTCGTTCATCGACTGACACAAGCGGCCCCACAGCCTTGGTTCCTAAATGAACGCTGTATTTGCAGAAATCCTGAAAACCCCACAGAACGATGGCTGTGACTCTGAGCTGGGGTGAGACGAACAGAAAAACCTTTATGGCCCGGGTTGGGGAAGAAAACGGCTCAATCACCATGGCAGAAGTCGACACCATTTAAAAAAATAAATGTACCAATTACAAAAATATCATAGTTTTCCCAATTGGGGAAATTTGTAGGGAAGGAAAACGAGGCCATAAAAGTCTGTTTTATGATCTCGCACGGATAGCAGACGGCCACCGTCGTAGTGTCAGTCAACACCACTCCGGGTTTAATATCTGAGACAATTATGGGATTGCATTCACCTTAGGGGGTCCGTGCAAACCCAAATGTTCCTGTAAGACATTTATGACCCTTTTCCTACACTTTCTTGGAGTTTCCCCTACAAATGCATGCACAGAAATGAAGCAAAAATGAAAAATAAATAAAAGCCCTGGAAGGTTTTTTTTTTTAATTTATTTAAAAAAACAAAGGAGGTTCCCGGCCAGGGTCCCCTAATATTAGCATCCAGCCAGGATATTATTTCTACAAAAAAAAAAAAAAAAACAAACAAAAAAAAACCCCCTGGGATTAATAAATTGAATAAATGAAATCACAAGACACAGGAAATTGCTTGCAAAATTTAACTGTGTTTTGCAAAGGTTCAGGGAGGTCCGTTATGGGATTTTTTTTAGATGGGATGGGGCTTTATTTGACTTCTTCTTTTTTGTATTCAATAACTCTGTAGAAAATGTGATTTTTGACAAAAGGTTTGCATTTGATGGGGTTCAAGTTCAAATTTATACAATTTTTTGGGGCACGGTACTGAACCCCTAAATAGGCATCGAGTGGCATTATTTTTAATGGAACAAATTTCTTCCAAAAAATTTTATTTCTTCCTTAAACCTAATTTTCTGTGCTACAACACTGTAAGACACTCACACAGAGCCCCTGTCGGTCTTTTGTTGGTTTTAATGGGATTCAGAGAAATTGGATTTACAAATTCCTAAGTGGGATTGAATGAAAATCAGGGCAGATTTGTCTGGAAGTATTCCTGAGATTCTTATTTATTTTTTTTTTTTTACTATTTTTTATTAGCCTATATTAATACCATAGCGAGAAACTTCAGTGCTGTATAATATTCCCTTCACTCTCCTCCATGATATCTGCTACACCCATTTTCAAAGAGTGTTTTGCGGGTGTCATTGTTTGATTTTCTCATCTGTACAAAATGTATGTTGATCCTATTAATGCCTCCCCAGAACCTTCTTTTTCCCTCCGATTCTGTTTTGGGGATACCCTTTTATACTCATGAGCTATCATCACCACCAGCATTTTAGATCTAGGTTTCACATATGATTCAAAAATTGTGATATTTGTGTTTCTGAGCTTGGTTTGCGTCACTCAGTGACGTCCTGCAAGTGATGTAATTTCGTTCATTTTTATGTCTGTATACTATTCAATGAGGCAGATAGATAGGTAGATGGATGGATGGATGGGTGGATGGATGGGTGGATGGATGGATGGATGGGTGGATGGATGGATGGATGGATGGATGGGTGGATGGATGGATGGGTGGATGGATGGGTGGATGGATGGATGGGTGGATGGATGGATGGATGGGTGGATGGATGGATGGATGGGTGGATGGGTGGATGGATGGATGGGTGGATGGATGGGTGGATGGATGGGTGGATGGGTGGATGGACGGGTGGATGGATGGATGGATGGATGGGTGGATGGATGGATGGGTGGATGGATGGGTGGACGGGTGGATGGATGGATGGATGGATGGGTGGATGGATGGATGGGTGGATGGGTGGATGGACGGGTGGATGGATGGATGGATGGATGGGTGGATGGATGGATGGGTGGATGGATGGGTGGATGGATGGGTGGATGGATGGGTGGATGGATGGATGGATGGGTGGATGGATGGATGGGTGGATGGGTGGATGGATGGGTGGATGGGTGGATGGATGGATGGGTGGATGGATGGGTGGATGGGTGGATGGATGGATGGATGGATGGGTGGATGGATGGATGGGTGGATGGATGGATGGATGGATGGATGGATGGGTGGATGGATGGATGGGTGGATGGATGGGTGGATGGATGGATGGGTGGATGGATGGATGGATGGATGGGTGGATGGATGGGTGGATGGATGGGTGGATGGATGGATGGATGGATGGGTGGATGGGTGGATGGGTGGATGGGTGGGTGGATGGGTGGATGGGTGGATGGATGGATGGATGGATGGGTGGATGGGTGGATGGGTGGATGGATGGATGGGTGGATGGATGGATGGGTGGATGGGTGGATGGGTGGGTGGATGGGTGGATGGATGGATGGATGGGTGGATGGATGGATGGGTGGATGGGTGGATGGATGGGTGGATGGGTGGATGGGTGGATGGATGGGTGGATGGATGGCGGATGACGGATCAATGGGTGGATGGATGGATGGATGAGTGGAGAGATGGATGGTGGATGTTTTTAAATGACTCTTTTATTGCTAATTCATAAGAACTTTTCACAGATAAGGAAATTAGTATTTTTTGGTGGGACTGGGATTCAAACTCAGGACTCCATACTTGCAAATCAGGCCCTCTGTCACTTCAGTCACACCCCCAGTTCATTTTGCTCGGGTTATTTTGGCGATTGGGTCTTGTGAACTCTCTTCCAGTTTTGGCCTCCATGCACAATCTCTCCATCTCAGCCTCCCAAGTAGCCAGGATTACAGGCGTGACCACCAGTGCCCAGGTAGCTTGGTCATCTTTAATTAGGATTTCTGAGAGTAAACCAGGCACAAGTTGGGGAATGGTGCCGATGAATTGTCCCGTTTTGCAATGGTTCTGTCACTGACAGGATCGCCACAGACCTGTGGACATCATGGATAGTGACACACAGATCCCAGGACCTCTGCACAGTCTACGAACATCAACACACATCCCTACATTGACGGTGACCACGGCGTCCCCCTCACAACATCATGTACGAATTATCCCTCATCGTGAAGGTGAAGCCACCCAAGGAGACCATGTTCCCACCCTGGGGGACATTGAGCTGTGGGGACCCTTCGGTGGCCTCTCCGTCCCCTGTCTGTGGGCTTGACTGCGTTGTCATGGACGATGGCTCGGCCTCAGCCTTGGACAGCTGGACCACCAGGGCATCCTCAAGGTGGCACTCCTTGTCCCCGATGTCCATCTTTGTCATTGGGACCACGTTCTGGGTGTCCAGGATCCAACGCTGAGGGACAGATTTAACGTCAAAACAGGGACACGCAGCATGGTGGATTCTTTGTTCCCAGTGACCACCCCACCAATGTCCCCACCCCACCAATGTCCCCAGGGACCTTCTGGAGACCCTAAGACCATCTGTGCCTTGCACCAAAATTGAGAGACTGAAATCGGCCTTTTCCTATCAGAAAACCCCACAGGTGACTCAAGAGGACATGAGGGGACCAGGGATGATTTCCAAAATGACCCTGAGGACAAGGTGAGGGTTTACACATGTCACAAGTCCCCCTTGTCATATGGAGGGACAGAAAGTGACACTTACCTGAAAGTCACCCTTGTGGTCCTCAAAGAGCCCAGGGAAGGAACATTTGGGGTCTGGGACATATGGCATCAGCAGATTCTTCACCCTAAAACAGACTCAGAGACCTGGTCACAAAACTGGGGACATATTGGGGACACACAGTCCTGTGAGGGCTCAGGATGGATGAGGAGGAAAATTGGGGACCCCACACTTGGGCGATGCCTGCATTTCAGGTACAGATGCCACCCTGGCCTTGCTAGGAACCCTGCCTGTGTCATTCCCAAAATGTCACCATGGGAGTGTGACATTCCTGTGCTGAGGTCCAGACCCCTCAGGGCCTCGGGATGGGGCCGTGTTTGGATATGGGGTCTTCAAAGAGGTGACTCCAGCCTCAGGACTTGACTTGGACTCCAGCACTGGGGGACAGTAAGTATGTATTGTCCCCAGCCTTGGGGACTTTATTCAAGTGGCCCCAGCAGATGTGTCCTCTCCTGTTCCTGAAGCAGGTGGACCCGGAAGTCACAGCCCATGTTTTAAACAGAGGGGACTTTGCTGGAGAAAGTTACAAATTTTGCAGAAATAGGACACGTTGCGTTCTAAATGACCCCACTCATGGACATTTTCCCAAAGGAAATGACATCTGTATGAGGCAGTGACCTCCTCATCCCCTTGTTCTTGGCGGCAGCACTGTTCACGATACCCGAGAAATTGTGATAGCCTAAGACTCCATCAATGAATGAATAAAGAAAACACGCTTCATATATAAAATGGAATACTATTCAGCCACAAAGAAGGATGGATTCACAGTATGAGCCCTGAAATTGTCAAAATTTCCCTCACAGAATAACATAGCTGACTTCACAGGGTTTTCCCTTCGAACCTGATAAACCATTTTTGTAAAAGCATATCATTTAGTTGGTCTGGGGACAACTAAATGGGGATACCCTGAGTGTCCCCATTACCTGACTGAGTTGAAGTCCATACCCCTTATCGATGGCTTCCCACCCTCCTGGAGAACACCATATTGATTGCGTGGTAAATTTGAGGGTTTTTTTTAAGACATACAAGGAGAGAGATTTTGACTGATTTGCCTGTAATTCCACCCAGCCTCTCCTAGCTGAGGGTTCGAGTCCTCAGACAGAAGCCAACGTGGATTGAAAATACTTGAAAAATAATTGCATTCCTACTAAACCTGCATGCAGCCTTTTCTTGTGATTTCCTAAATAACCGAGTCTTACACAGCATTTCAGAGGCATGAGGTGTCATAAGTCACCTAGATGTGGTTTAAGCCACAGGGACAACATTTGCAGGCTTTGGGTAAATTTTGCCCCATTTTTATAGAGGGGACCCGAGCATTCCCAGATTTGGGTCTCCGTGGGACATCACAGAACCAGTTCCCACAGAAACTTAGGGAACCTCCCACCCACCCCATATGTAACTTTGACAGGCACCTCTGAGGCTGTGGGACTCAGAACAACTCAGTCCCACCATGAAAATCCCAGAGAAGAAGACCCATCTCTCTCTCTTTCTCTCTCTCTCTCTCCCCCTCTCTCTCTCCCCCTCCCCTGCTGTATCCCAATGGTGGTTTCTATGGAAACCGCATCCAGGGCAAACAACATGGTACCCACCACCTGGTGCGTCCCCACGAGCATCCAGGGATGAAGGTCTGCATCCCTACAGTGGTTGCTATGGAAACCGTATCCAGGGCAACCAAGATGGTACCCGCCGCCTTGTCCACTGGCCTCTGCACACGTCACCAGCAGCCCACGCCAGGATGCAGCTGAGTTTACATAAAAGTGGTGTTCGTGGTGTTCAAGTTGTATTTGAAGGTTAATAAAGAAAACTGCTCGATATGGCTTTTTTTTTTATTGTGGGGTAGTGGTACTGGGGTTTGAACTCAGAATCTCACCCTTGCTGGGTAGGTGATCTAACAATTTTGATATGTCCTTGGTAAATTGCTTTACTTATGTTTTTAGGTAGGGTTACAGGATGTTCTTTGGGGCTGGCATGGGACTGCAATCCTCCTACCTATGCCTCCTGGATATGTGGGATTACAGGATGGACCACCACACCTGGCTTGTTGCTGGAGATGGGGTCTCAACAATTTTTTACCCTGGCTGTCCTTGAATTGTGATCACCTGATCCCTACCTCCTGAGTAGCTGCGATTACAGATTTGAACCACCATTCTTGGTCAGATAGAATTTTCAAGTTTCTAATAAGAACTGGATGTACACATTTTCCACTAGAGATGCCAAAAATTAGTCCTGAGGATCCCTGTACACAATTCAAGTTTTTCCCACTTTGTCATGGACACTTGGCATTGTCACCACAGTGCTCTGCCTGTGCAGATAACGAGGCCAGCCAGCAGGACCGTACTCACCTCTGCAGTTTCCATAAAGACAAGAGTAGTAGACTGACTATCAGAAGGCTGAGCAGTGTGGAAATTAAGATGAATTGGGGGAATTTCATTTGAGGAGGACTTTGCCAGTCCGGGCAAGAATCTGAAAGAAAACAGAACAGATGCTATGAGTTTTCAACATGGCTGATTCCACCTGCACCCAACACCCCCAGGGGACACCTGTCCAGGTTGGTTGCACACCCCCATTAAGAATTCTTTTGTAAGGTTTTGTTGTGACATCTGACTGTCACCGTCCCATTCGGTGTGGGGTTTTGTGACATTTCACCGGCACCATCCCATTCTATGTAGGGGGATTTGTGCAACGCCTCACCATCAGCATCTCTTGTCCACACCTGTGTCCCTCAATTGCCAAGGAGCCACCCAAGAATGATGGAATCTATTATATAGGGTCATCTTTTTGAGTTTCATGTCCATTTTTTACATAAACTTTGATAAATTGTATGTTGCAGAAAAGAATAATTGAGTGAAAATTCACCACCCTGAGGACCAGGTAAGTTCCTGAGGTTCTAGCTGGGTTTGTAAGGACATAAAACCATATGGACACACGGGTGTCCCTTCCCCTATATGAGCCAACTGCCCCCATGGTTCTCTCTTGCCACTCTTGGCATTGGGTAGATACACTGTTTTTGCATTTTAAATTTTCTTATAATTTTAAATTAGCATTCATTAACAATACAAAGGGTATTTTACGGTGTTAATCCCCTGCATCTTAACATGCCTGTAGGGTCACAAGAAGGGGTCATTTGTTGACCCTTTGCACTCCAGACACTGCAGCGGGTCTCAGGCAAAGGCAAGAGGGATCGGGGTAGGCAAGATGGAGTCCCTTCCTGGTCATTTAGTCAAGAGGGAACATTTATCAGTCTAAACGTCCATATTCACCAGTCCATCTGTCCTCTGTGTATCTCTCTATCATCTACCTATCATCTATCAATCTACCAGTCAATCTAGCTAGCTGGCTACCCATTCATTTCTGCACATATCATCTATATTTACCCATCATCCATCTAGCTATGTATCTCTCATCTCTCAACCAACCCATTATCTACCTACCCATCTATCCATCTAACCATCTATCTACTATATATTTATGATCTTTGCATCTACTTATTTATTACTCCATGTATCATCTATCTATGTATCAATCATGTATCTATTTACTTGCTGTCAATCAATCCACCTATACTCTGTATATGCTCTGCGTGTATCTACTGATCCGTCCACCTGACAGTTATCATCTGTTTCTTACCTAGCTACCGTGTATCCCTCTACACACCGCCTATCAATTTTCTATATTTCTATTGATCATATATATAGCTGTCAGGATACCATCAATTTGTAAGCTAGGGTCCTTCCATCATCCACATACCTTTCTCCTATTAATCACTGGCTAGTAATCTACCTACACATTGTCTACTTATCTATCTATTCACTTATTATCTACGATGGTATCTCTATTATATATGTATGTATTCATTTTTCATCTGTCCGTTCATTACCCATCATCTACATATTCTATATCTTCATCCATCCATCCATCCACCCACCCATCCACCCATCCATCCATTCACTCATCCATCCATCCACCCATCCATCCACCCATCCACCCATCCATCCACCCATCCACCCATCCACCCATCCATCCACCCATCCATCCATCCATCCACCCACCCACCCACCCATCCATCCATCCATCCACCCATCCATTCACCCATCCATCCATCCATCCATCCGTCCATCCATCCACCCATCCACCAACCCATCCACCCATTCATCCATTCACTCATCCATCCATCCACCCATCAATCCACCCATCCATCCATCCATCCATCCGTCCATCCACCCACCCATCCACCCATCCATCCACCCATCCATCCATTCACTCATCCATCCACCCACCCATCCACCCATCCATCCATCCATCCACCCATCCATCCATCCATCCATCCACCCATCCATCCATCCACCCATCAATCCACCCATCCACCCATCCATCCACCCATCCATCCACCCACTCATCCACCCATCCATCCACCCATCCACCCATCCACCCATCCACCCATCCATCCACACATCCATCCATCCACCCATCCACCCACCCATCCACCCATCCATCCACCCATCCATCCATCCACCCATCCACCCATCCACCCATCCACCCATCCATCCATCCACCCATCCACCCATCCATCCATCACCCACCCATCACCATCCATCCACACATCCATCCATCTATCCATCCATCCATCCACCCATCCATCCACACATCCATCCATCTATCCATCCATCCATCCACCCATCCATCCATCCATCCATCCACCCATCCACCCATCCATCCATCCACCCATCCATCCATCCATCCACCCATCCATCCATCCACCCATCCACCCACCCATCCACCCATCCACCCATCCATCCATTCACCCACCCAAACATTCACCTATCCATCCACACATCCATCCATCTATCCATCCATCCATCCACCCATCCATCCACCATCCATCCATCTATCCATCCATCCATCCACCCATCCATCCATCCATCCATCCACCCATCCACCCATCCATCCATCCACCCATCCATCTATCCATCCACCCATCCATCCATCCACCCATCCACCCACCCATCCACCCATCCACCCGTCCATCCATCCATCCACCCATCCACCCATCCATCCATCCACCCACCCATCCATCCATCCATTCACCATCCATTATCTACCACATCCATGTTTCTCTCTATCTCAGTAACCATATATCTATCTTCATCACATCTATCTTATATCTATCATGTACATATTTATAGATCAATAGTCAACATTATAAGTGAGGCATACATATTTTTCATAAATAAAACCTATTATTATTATTGTTATTCCTGTATAAACAGAAGGGAAGGTGAAATTCATCCCCAAGAGGAGGGCCCCTTGAAGAAGAGGAATTGCTTCCCCGTCGACAAGTAACAACAGTGATGGGCATTTGCAGGCCCCCATCCCGCACCTCAACAGTGTGTAATGTGCACTGTGTGACAAGCATCACCTCTGAGCCGTGCCGAATGCCAGTGGGTCACCTCTGACCAGTCGCTGGGGAAGGTGTCGGGGCCATAGTAGGCCTCCCTCGTTTTCACTCTGACCCGGAAGTAGTAGCATTTGTCACCATCCAAGCCTTCAATGGCCACATTGCAGGTTTTGGCCTCCTTGGACTGAGGACAGAGCAGACACCATCATTCATGGCTTCTTCTCCAACACTTTGTCTTTGGAGCACAGAGGGTCTCTCATGGTGGGGAACCCCATCTGTCCTATATAGAGTAACCCTTCCATTATCAAAAGTCAACAATGGCCACCTGGGTCACTCAGAATAAATTTAATATCTCCTAATGTTACCCAATATGGAAACTTTTCCCCTTTGTGTGAAATCATCAGACATTGATTGACTCATAAAATGATTTGATGGTGAATTGAAAGTGTCCACTTGGCTGGCATCCAGTTTTGTGGTCACACACCAGCTGAGATGTCACTGGAAAGGTATTATTATTATTATTCTTATTGATGTGGTATTTACAAAATATACTAAACCCTCATTATCATATGACTTTAATGAACTGTATTGCGAGGGTGGGCCTCGCCCAATCAGTTGGAGGGAAGAGTCTGAAATTGGAAGAAAGTTGGTCTCAAGGTTGTGAGAGGGAAATCCTGCATGGATGATTGATAGATGACAGATATAGATCGATGATTGATAGATGATAGGTGATAGATATAGATAACTGATAGATTGATGAATAGATAGATGATAGATACATAAATAGAGAGAAATCTAGTTAGCCAGTCACTGATAAATGATAGCTAGATATACAGATGATAGATGACTAATACATTACAAATAGATGACATCCTGACAAGTAGATATATGATCAATAGAAATACAGGGAATTGATAGGGGATATATAGAAAGACACACGATAGCTAGGGGGGAGACAGGTATATGACAGATAGATGATAATTGACGGAGGTGGATGGATGGGTAGATCAATAGATACAGGGATAGCAGATAGATATATGATTGATAGACAATAATTAGATAGATACATGATTGATAGGTAGATAGATACATGGACGAAGGGAGATACAGATTGATAGATCAATGACAGATTGACTGATAGATATTGATTGATAGATAGAGAATGGATCGATAGATGATACAGTGACAGACAGAAGAACAGATGACACATAGGGGTGACAGAAATCTCCCTGGCTGTTTCTCCACCTGGCCGATGCACCTGTCAGAGGAAGATGAAGTGAATCACAGACAGGTGTAGATGAAGGTGACACCGTGGTGGTCACCTGTCCCCACACCCAGCTCTTCCCCCAGGGTCACCACACGGTCCCCATGTCCCCGAGGATGACAGCCACCTGGGCTCACCTGCCACTTGGTGTCAAAGACACTGCGGAACTGGACCTCATAGAGGAGCCCATTGTAGACCAGGTCGGTGCAGGTCACTGTCAACTTGTCCTCCTGCCACAGGAAGGTCACATCTCTGGGGGTCCCAGGCTTCACTAAGAAGGACACACAGATCAAGGTCATGACCCCAGGCAGGTCAAGGTACACCCAGGATGCATGTATGAAGTCCTTGTGTTCCTACATCCATCCTCCCAGGGTCCCCTGACGGGACACAGCAGTCACTGTCCTTGTACACTCAGAAGGTCTTAACCACAGTTCTGGGAACAAGTGCACAGAAATCCCCAAAATGGCAGCTGTGTATCTGTGATGGGATAAACTGAGTCATCCCCCAAAAATATATTGAAGTCATAATTCCCCTACACACACATCCAGGAACTCAGAGTGGATCTGTATTTGAAAATTGCACCACAACATCATAAGATGAGGTCATCCTGGAAAGCCATCTGCAACTCAGCAGGATAAGGTCATGTTTGTGATCTGTCTCTGAGTGACACGTCAGGAGTGGGCTGTCACATGAGTATTGGGACTTTTCTTGCTAAGGATGGATGTCCACATCTCTAAAGGTCTCAGGCGACCATATGGAGGCCAGGCATGGTGGTGCACGCCTGTAATCCCTGCCTTTGGGAGGCTGAGAATGGGGGATGGAGAGTTACAGGTCAACCTGGGATTCATAGGGAGAGGTTGTCCAAAGATGAAAGACGGAAGGGAGGGAGGAAAGCAGAAGGAGACAGAAAGAGGAGGGGACAGGAAAGGAGAAGAACAAAAAGAAGAAGAAAGAGCAAGATACGTGTTGATGGATAGCCAATGGACAGAAGTGATCACCGAGCCAGGTCCTGGCCTCATCCCCCCCTTGCACAGCCCTCCTGGGGACCTCAGGTGTCCCCCGGCATCACAGGAGGATCCACTGTGCCTGGTGTATGGATGGAGATAGAAATTTCCAGAACACTCATCCCACTGGGCAGGGGTCAGGAAGGGGTCATGGGGTGCAAGTGGATGGGGACTGATCTGTCCTCTTGGGACTTACAGAAGTCAGAGGCTAAGCGGCTCCTGGTGTCCAGGATGTGGGTCTCGTTCCTGATGGTCAGATGGAGGACGCCACGCTGAGCTGGCAGGACACATCCAGATGTAAAACCCTGGTGGAGAAGATAGTGGGTACACGGGGTGTCCACTGTCTCCATGTCGAACCTGAGGTTCAAAGGGTGGGTTACCATAGAGCTCCCCTAAAATAGCATCTTGGGGTAAGTAATGGGGGGCCCTGGGCATTGCACCCCTGCCATGAAATTGCTTCAATGATTCTGCCTTAAATTATGAGTAGACCCCACAAAACAGGAGCCATCACTTCTCTGCAATGCTTACACCCCTCGAATGGGACCTCATTTGAAAATAGGGTCTTTGAAGTTGGAAAGAAGGGCTTGAGATGAGGTCATCCTGGACCAGCTGTGTCACCCACTCCATTGGGTCAGGCCGCCATATTGGAATATGGTCAAGTCCCATAGAACTGAGCGGAATGGTGACTTTTCCAAAAGCTCTGTCACCTGGGACCTGAGCGTGGGACCCCATTTGGAAATAGGGTCTTTGCAGATGGGATTAATGAAGGGTCTGGAGATGAGGCCATCCTGGACCAGCTGTGTCACCCACTCCATTGGGCCAGGCCGCCATATTGGAATATGGTCAAGTGCCATAGAACTGAGGGGAATGGTGACTTTTCCAAAAGCTGTGTCACCTGGGAGCTAAGCGTGGGACCTCATTTGGAAATAGGAGGAGATGGGGTGCATGGAGTTAAGGGTCTTGAGATGGGGTCATCCTGGATGAGGGTGGCCCCCAATGCCATGGCAGTGTCCTCATAAGAGACAGAAGAGGCCAGAAGGATCCCCCCTTGGGGCTGGGGAAGGACTGACCACGCCACAACTGGACCCCATACTTCTTGCTCACACGTCATCGGGGTATTCTGACCTAATAGAGGTACAATTTTCAGAATGAAGGAGGCTCTGGTTTTAGGATGCACTTCAACAGGTAAGTACCAAGCTCAGATACTTCAGCCTCCTTTCCACATTAAGAGTCATCCTAGGTCCATCGTGACACTGGTTCACTCAACACTGAAGTCAATGCACGAGCTGGACCAAAGGTCACTTTTGTATGACCAGGAAGAGCAGAGACTCGGAAATGTCACATCATGACCTTGAGAAACACAGCCCTGGTTGGTTTTTTTTTTTTTTTTTTTTGCTACCCTCTGTGGATTCATTTGACAAAAAAATCCTTCATTTTAAAATTTCCCTTTTTTGGACTTTTCCGTGTATCACCTGAGGAATCAAAGTTCAAGAAGCCACCACACAGGACATACGTCCTGTTCTCAGAATTCATTGGAAAAACCCCAATGAAAGAGTAACTCCTACATTGGCACTTTTTTGCCTTTGGGGACATAAAGACAAGCAAAAAAAAAAAATCTGAAAATGACAGAGAGGTGGCCCTAGGTCATGTCACCAGGTGGCAAATTTTGTCCCGGGTTGCTTTGCCCAGTTATAGGGTTTTCTGGCGACACAGCTCAATAAACAGTAGGTCCCCTCCCCCCAGGTCCCGCTAGATCAATAAACAATTTTTTTGCAATTATCCTGGAGAGAATCTAAGTGGTTTTTAGTGTGACTCAGTTGTGGTTTGGTGACAAGGTTTCGGGGAACTGCGGCCGGGGTGTGGGGACATGGTTTCAGATTCACATTTTCTGATTCTTCACACCTTGTCTTTCTGCCATCTGCAGATGTCTCAGAAGGGGACAGAAGGTGACAACAGGGGGCACAGATTCCCATCTGGGGACAATTACCTGTAAAGGACAGTCAGATTAGTCCCCATGGGGTCGGTCAGGTTCCACATCACCCTCACGTTTTCGAAGTTAAAACAGATGATGTCGAGTTGCAAGCTTTCTTCATCTGCATGAAAAAACAAAAAAAAAAGAAGGAAAAAAAGTCTGATTTGGGGATCAAGGTTGAAAATGGTAGGAAACTTATGTGTGGGGTGACCTCTGGTCGTTAGGTCACAATGGAAGGAGAAGGATGTCACCAGGACTTTGCAAATCTTGGTGATGACAGACATGCATCCCCTCCACCCACCACCACACTTTATCTGAGTTTTGGCTGCAAATATTCAAAGGAAAAATCTAGAAGAGAATATTTTCTAAGATTTAGATTACTTACATTGTAAGTATGTTCCTATAATTATTCTATGTTATTATTGCTTAGCGTCGACCTCTTATGGGTCTAATTGAGGAATTAGATTATCATAGGGGTATCTGTGTGTGTGATAGGACCAGATTAAAATACAGGGCGGTTTGGAACTATCCATATTTCAGGAAGACGTCGGGGGACTTGGGACTTGGAATATTTTCCTTGTGGGTAATGGGGAGTGACTCTAATCATGTCAGCAAGATAGGCAGGGTATAAAAGGGTTGGACAGAAACTCAACTGGCGTCAGGCATTGTGACACACGCCTGTAATCCCAGCACTTGGGAGGCTGAAAGAGAAGGGTCATGAGTTTCAGGCCAATCTGGATTGCATGGTAAGACAGTGTCAGAAAGAGAGAGAGAAACAGAGAGAGGGGAGAGAGAGGAATGGAGGAAGAGAGAGAGAGAGAGGGAGAGAAATGAAGGAAGGGAGAGATGTAAGGTTAAAAATGAACCCTGAGGATTTGGATTACAAATGGCGGTATCATGATAGAGATGACGATGACAGATGGATAAAGACTAACCCTGGGGCTGGGGTTTACTTCAGTGCTGAACACACAGGAAGTTCAGGTTCCATCCCCAACAATAAAAGATGGATGGACAGATGGACAAGCTGAAGGATGGAGGTGTGATGGATGGCTGGATGGGTGGACAGATGGATGGATGGATGGATGGGTGGATGGGTGGGTGGATGGGTGGATGGGTGGATGGATGGATGGGTGGATGGATGGGTGGATGCATGGATGGGTGGATGGATGGGTGGATGGATGGGTGGATGGATGGATGGGTGGATGGATGGATGGATGGATGGATGGATGGGTGGATGGGTGGATGGGTGGATGGATGGGTGGATGGATGGACGGGTGGGTGGATGGGTGGGTGGATGGATGGGTGGATGGATGGATGGGTGGATGGATGGATGGATGGATGGATGGGTGGATGGGTGGGTGGATGGATGGACGGGTGGATGGACGGATGGATGGATGGACGGGTGGATGGACGGGTGGATGGATGGGTGGATGGATGGGTGGATGGGTGGATGGATGGGTGGATGGGTGGGTGGATGGGTGGATGGATGGATGGATGGATGGATGGATGGATGGATGGATGGGTGGATGGATGGGTGGATGGGTGGGTGGATGGGTGGATGGATGGATGGATGGATGGATGGGTGGATGGGTGGATGGGTGGATGGGTGGATGGGTGGATGGATGGGTGGATGGGTGGGTGGATGGATGGATGGATGGATGGATGGGTGGATGGATGGATTGGTGGGTTGGTGATTGAATGCACAAATTCGTCCATGGTCGGATAATAGACAGACAGATGTCAAAGACGGAGGGACAGGCAGATAAACAAGATGACCACACATGCACACACCTGACATTCCTAAGTCTGGTCACCAAGAGAACATAGAAGTCATGTCATCTCAGGAGCAATAAGCGCCTGTATTACTTTTGTGTTTATTTGTAAATATTCTTCACTAAAAGATATTACAGTTAAGTTCTGGCCTGTGACACCTTTTTCTACCCAGAATTAAGGACCTGGTTACAAAATGAGGGTGACTTATTGAAAAGCTTTAGGACTCAGATCACAGGAGAACACTGGCCAAGGCTGTGTGTGTCCCTAATAATAACTATAATCATAGCCCAGAATCAAACATGAAAATCTGAGCTTAGGAAAAGAGTATACTGATACAATATCCTAGTGTGTCAATGGATAGACATGTAACCTAATGTTAATCCAAATTAATAGTGTAAAGTAGAATGTGATGCATTTTATGATAAATAGACAAAATGGGAAATTAAGAGGTTGTATATTGATAATAGATAAAGAAATAAATGAAGGCACAAAGAGCGTAATATGGTAAATCCAATCTCAGTAACATCGAAGATCAAAGGAATAGATAAGACAGAAGGGAAAGAATTTCTTTATAGCCAAGCAATTAATTCTTTTTATTAATCAAATAATAAATTAATTAGACTATGTGAGAACCAGAAAGAAAACACTGTTGACAAATCCCACATGGATGGGTTTTTATAAACGTAAAGACGACCCCCCAATGTTCATTACGGAAGGAAATGTGGTCTCGTTCATCATGGTGGATGCCATCATGCGTTACCAGGTCCAGGTTGATGTCACTTGAATTTCCTGGGTCCCGACGAAGATGTGGATGGCTGGTGGGATTTTCCTACAAAATCACCCATGCCAAAAATGTGTAAGACAGACACACAGACAAACCCAAAGGAGGGACAGTCTACCATACAGCTACCTGTGACCTACAGGGTACATGACAGGGACAAAAAAAAAAAAAAAAGACAGGTTGGAAAAGTGTGACAGACTCAAGAGCCAACACGGCTGACAAAACTCTGGTTGGACTCAGGTTGGTATCAACCGAACATGGCTGCCATGGCTTTGGTGGAGTGACTCAAGAGATAGAGCTCCTGCCTAGCAAGCATGAGGTTCTGAGTTCAAATCCCTCTTGGGCATGTACCCCAAGAAGATACCTGAACTCCCCTGTTTATAGCAGCACTATTCACAATGGCCAAAATATGGAATCAACCTCGGTTGATGAGTGAATAAAGAAGTTGTGCATAGATATATATATATATATATATATACACACACACACACACACACACACACACACACACACACACACACTGGAGTAGTATGCAGCCATGAAGAATGAAATTATAGCATTTGCAGGAAAACGGACGGAAGTGGAGACCGTCACGCTAAGCAAGGTAAGCTAAACTTAAAAAGAGAGATATGACATTTTTTCACTCATATGTGGAATCTAGACCTAAAAGTGATAATAAAATGACATCGTTGTGTAGGGTGAGTATTGGCAGCAGAACAGTGGGTGACAGGAGGGAAAAAGGAAAGGGTGAATACTATAGAAGTATATTAAATATACATTTGTGAAAACAGCACAGTGAGCCCCACCAAAAGCTGTTCAGAAATAATAATAATAATCATATATAAAAATATAACAGAGATGGGTGAATTTGAACAAAGTCCGGGTTTTTTTTGCACTTCCACATTATCAGAATGAAACCCTTTGTACAATTAACATACACTACTAAAAAAAAACTTTAAATAAAACAAAAGCCTTTGTGCCAGGTATATGATTTTGTGCTCAGAGCTTCCTCAATTATTAAATTGGGCAAAAAAAAAAATTGAGGTTTCCAGACCAGACCTCCTACCAAAACTTCTGAAATTTCAGGGGTGTAAATATTTTGCATTCCTGGCCGCGAATGGTGGCTCACACCTTTCATCTCGGCTGGTCAGGAGATTGGGAAGATAGCGGGTCCAGGGCTCAATAATAATAATAATAATAATAATAATAATAAAAATGAGCGTGACCCCATCTGAACCAACAAGCTGGGGGTGGTGGTCACACCTGTAATCCATACCATTCATTGGCCAGAGGTCATTGGATATGGCCGGTGTCCTCAAGTGTGGAAGCCTGTGACCTTTAGCTTAGGACGTGTGTGTCACCGGGCTTTGGGACACGAGGGTGATGACTGAGTCGTTTGTCCCCCCCATGACGTCATATAGGGGAAATGTCACAGATCAGGCCAGGCGCCCCCCCATTCCCACCCAGAAAGGGGAAGTTGGGCTTGCGGTCAGCTGTGTCCCCGGCACCACCGTGAGTCACCAGGGCGGGAAGGTGGGGAGTCTTTAAATAGAGAGTGCAGGAAGTGGAGGCGTCTAGTCTTCTGGTCACCTTTGGCCATAGGCTAGGCCCCAAATGGTTTGGTGTCTATGGGGCGTGATGTTGGGGTTTCAGCCTGGAAACTGGAGCCCAGGAAGGGAGGTAGGAGGACAGGAGCTGCAGGCCCCCCAAAAGTGACCCCACGAAATGCCTTTCAGTGGCCGTGGGACACTTTTTGTCACGGGGTTTTTTACTGAGATTGCACAGGGTTCTTTGGGGCATTTGCACACAGGCAAATAGCCTCTAGCAGTCCGCTAGCGCCCTGTGGGTTTGGGGTTCTGCGGGAACCCGCGGGTACGGGGTGCCAGCTGTGGGAGCTGCCATCCTCGCTCTGTCACCAAACTGTCACTTCAGACATCTGGGCTGATGCTCCCGGGTGCCGTGGGTTATGGGGGACACGAACCCCGAAACCTGTGTGGGGTGCAGGGGAGGCGTGGGGCTGAGTGTCCATGAGGAAGGACAAGGGGGTGGCAGGGCCTAGGGGAGACAGACGGACAGACGACACAGAGAAAGAGGGGAGAGAGACAGAGAGAGGGGGGACAGAGACAGACAGAGAGACAGAGAGACAGTGAAGGGGGAGAGACAGACAGAGAGAGACAGAGACAGACAGACAGAGAGAGAGACAGTGAAGGGGGAGAGACAGACAGAGAGACAAAGAGACACACACAGAGAAAGACATACAGACAAAGAGAGAGACACTGAGTGGGGGAGAGAGACAGAGAAACAGAGAGACAGACAGACAAACTGACAGAAAGACAGAGACAGGAGAGGAGAGGGAGACAGACAGACAGGCATGCAGGCAGGCAGACAGAGAGAGACACTGAAAATGGGAGAGAGACAGAGAGAGACAGACAGACAGATAGACAAAGAGACAGACACATAGAGAGTTATCCATAAAGAGAAGGAGAGAGAGCAACACACAGAGACACAGATAGTGAGTGAGAAAAGAGAGACAGACAGACATAAAGATGGAGAGAGAAAGAGAGAAATAGAAACAGAGACTGAGACACAGAGAGAGAAAAGAACGACATAGAGAGAGAACAGAGAGAAAGACAGAGAGAGAGAGAGAGAAGGAGAGGGGGGAAGAGAGGGAAGGGAGAAAGAAGGGGAGGAAAGAGAGAGGAGAGAGAGAGGGGGAGAGGGAGAGAGAGAGAGGAGAGAGAGGGGGAGGAGAGAGAGAGAGAGGAGAGGGAGAGAGGAGAGAGAGGGAGAGAGAGAGGAGAGAGGGAGAGAGAGGGGGAGAGAGAGAAAGAGAGGGAGGGAGAGAGAGGAGAGAGAGGAGAAAGTGAGAGGAGAGAGAGGAGAGAGGAGGGAGGGAGGGAGGGAGAGAGAGAGGAGAGGAGAGAGAGGGAGAGAGGAAAGAGAGAGAGGAGAGAGAGGGAGAGAGAGGGAAGGAGACAGACTTCCCCCACAGCTAGCCTTGCCTTTGCCTCCCCCCTGCACCCCAGAATCCCCAGGGCCACGTGCAGCTCATGGGATGGATACACGCTCTGTGTCTGTCTGTCTGTCTGTCTGTCTGTCTGTCTCAGCTACCCCACCTCCCTCCACACACACTCACAGAATCAGAAAGCACAACCCCGGATTCGGTGAGGAGGGGACCGCGCTGCTGGTTTAACGGAGCAGAGTCTCGGTTTTCAGAGACCCCAACCTCAAAAACAGCCCCCGGGGCGGGGCTGGTGTCACCCGCACCCCACCCACTGCCGTTTAAGCCCTGGAGGTGACGAACTGACTTCTGCGCGTGACGATTTTGTGCGGTCAAGGCTCAGAGTCTGCACTCGGGGTCGTCTGCTTTCGGGAAGAGCCGGGTGTCGTAGCGCACGCCTGTAATCCCTGCCGCCCCGGGAAACAGGCGGGAGGGTGGCGAATTCAAAGTTACACTCCCCAGCGGAATATTGCTCAGCCATGAAAAGTACTGAAGCTTTCACATACGTGGGGGCAGCAAAATAAGGACACACAAAAGCCACTTGTCACTCCGGGTGGCTTCTCACTTCCCCTTCATCTGTCTCCACCCTAGGAAGGCTCCTCTGACCTCCCCTAAAGCAGGTCACAGGCATTAAAAAGCATCTGTAAGTCAGTCTAATACCCTGACACCAAGGTCACAGCAGAGGCAGGTGAAGAGCACAGGGAAGACAGTTCAATGCCATGGGGCAGACAGGTTAGGATCAAGGTCACAGCTGCCATCCCTGTGGGCTCCCGGGGGACTTTGTCACCGCTCAGACCTCCACGTGTGGTCTGTCTCCTGTGTCACCACCACACACACTGCACATGGGCAGCACTGGTTTGGGGTAAAAGAAGGTAAAAGCTGTCACATTCTTAGAAGTTTGACACAAACCTGAGACAGATGCCAAAGTGATCCATTGACCGTGTCCCCAAAACCCTCCGTTTTCTTTTTTTTTAAACCGCTTTTGTTTTAACTAATTTTACCTAATATTTCTTTAAAAAACACATCATTTTGTGAGAGCTTGGTTTTTTTCATTTTTTTGTCTTTTTCTTTTTCACTACAGCCTAATCTTCCACAGCTTGTGGGATTTGAACTCAGATCCCCAGAGTCAGAAGTCTCCAGGCATTCACTGAGTGACTTTTAGAGAGGAAAATCACCCTGATTGTCAGAAAAGAAACAGAAAATGAGAAAAAAAGGAAGAGATGATATCCAAAAGAAAGAAAAAAGGAGAATTCACAACTGCCAGCAGTCACCACATCACCAAGGTCTATCTTACCGTCACCGTCACCGAGGTCCCCAGAAGCCACTGCGTCGGCCGCCAGCAGGAGGATGGTCACCGAGGTGGCCCAGGGCAGGAGCAGGTGGCTCATGGCCACACGCAGGGAAGGGGACATGAGCCTGGGGACAGGGACAGTGGCTGGAACCGAGTTCACTGCATGACTAACGGACACACCAGTCCCTGTGGCTTTAAAACCCATGCAGGGGGAATTAGGGAAGTGATTATGGCAGGAAGCAGTCACATCTGATTAAGAGTGGTGATAATTGTCAGGGAGAGCGAGAGAGCAAGAGAGAGAGTGAGAGAGAGAGTGAGAGAGAGAGTGAGAGAGAGAGAAGGACAGGGGGAGAGAGACACAGACAGAGAGGGAGAGGGGGAGAGAGAGAAAGAGAGAAGGAGAGAGAGAGAGAGACAGATAGAGAGAGAGAGAGAGAGAGAGAGAGAGAGAGAGAGATAGGTGCAACATGGCAGCTCCAACCTGGTTCAGTTGGAGGGAGGAAGAGAGCAACAGAGATAAAAAGAGAGAGAGAGGCAGACAGACAGACAGAAAGAGGGGTGCAAGCTGGAAGCCCTGTACCTGGTTTGATTGGAGGGGGAGAGAGAGAGAGAGAGAGAGATAGAGAGAGAGACTGAAGGAGGGTGAGATGGAGAGAGACCAAGAGAGAGAGAAGGAAAAGAAAGGAAAAAAGGAGAGACATAGAGACAGAGAGGGATGGACAGATAGAAAGACAGAGAAAAAGAGAGAGATAAAGGAAGGAACGACAAAGAGAGAGAGAGGGAGGAAGGGAAAGAGGCAAGAGAGAGAGGGTAGGAGAGAGAAAAGGAAAGGAAGGAAGCAGAAAGAGGAATGAGAGGGAGAGAGAGAGATGGAAGGAGAGACATGGACGGACAGACAGAAGGAAAGAAAAGGAAGGAAGGAGTGAGGCAAAGAGAGAGGAATGGGCAGATACAGAGAGAGGGAGACAGGGGGAGAAAGAGAGAGAGAGAGAGAGCGAGAGAGAGAGAGAGAGAGAGATTTGGGGACATTCTTCCATCTCCTACGTGGGATCAAGAGAGAGGGAGACAGGGGGAGAAAGAGAGAGAGAGAGAGAGCGAGAGAGAGAGAGAGAGAGAGAGAGAGAGATTTGGGGACATTCTTCCATCTCCTACATGGGATCAAGAGAGAGGGAGACGGGGGAGAAAGAGAGCGAGAGAGAGAGAGAGAGAGAGAGATTTGGGGACATTCTTCCATCTCCTACGTGGGATGAGGACCTGGGCATCCCAACCCTGGGGAACTCCACCCCACTTGAAGCAGTGATGTAATCCCATCTCTCCATGGCCAAGATGCATGCTGGGAAATGGCACACAGGAAGTGATGACACCACAGGTCCCTGGAGTGACAGGTTGCATTAGGATGGGGCGGGCTAGACAGGGCAGAAGCAGCTTTGCACCTTTTTCGGTGCTGTATAGGTTTCCCCGGGCCATGATGGGAGTCCTCCCCTGGGCCAAGCTGGCAGATAGAAGTGGCTCATGTCTACACCTGGGGAGGTGAGAATCCTCAAAGAGTCCAAGTCAGAAGAGATGGACCCCACCTGGAGTCCTGACCCTGACACCCAAGGTGATGACAGCACAAGGTCATGTCACAAACAGACGGACAGGTGACAGAGCAGGTAGAAGATATGGGGTCCCCCAACAGCCCAGCAAATTCCTCCCCCCGACCTGCCAATATCTGAGCTCTGGGGAAACCCCACAAAGACTCCCAGACATCCCAGCTCCAAGATTTCACCTGACAAGTCTGGAAATGTCAAAGACAGTGTGGCAAAGTCCTATTAATGTCAGAAGTGCTGCATTTGGAATGGGCTCAGAGTCGGTGTCCCTATGGTAGGTAGAGTTCTATTTTCTTCTTAATGGCTCACTAATATTCCATTGTGTGCCTATACATTTTCCTTATTCATTCAACTATCAATAGACACCTGGACTGATTCATCTACATTTCAGATTTGGCAATATTTGCACAGATGTAATGAGAGATGTTGGGAGTGGGACTCGAGCCTAAATATGAAATTGATTTATGTTTCATTTGCATAGCCCACAGATGATGGTATACAAAGTTTTTCAAAATTGATGCATGAAAAGAAATGTTCCATGGCACGTAATATTCCACATCACTGGTGGTGCATAATATTCCACCTAATATAGGACACCTATGTATATATGGCAGATTGGTTTCAAGATCCCCCAACTCCCATGCATGCTCACTCCCTCATACAAAACAGGACAGGATTTGCACATCATCCATGCACAATGTACCCTACATTTGAAGTCCTCTGTGTATTATTTTCAGCACCTGTGCAATTAACTATTACTCTGTATTATGAGGGAGTAACGAGGAAAAACAATGCATGCTTACTTCAGTTGCAAATTTTATCTGAGTATTTGCATTTCAAATT